ACTCTTCCCTAAAGTTGAAGACACCCCTTCTGCTTATATTGCTCTGTCCAGAACTTCGTCACATGATCAAATCTAACTGCAAAGGAATCTGGGAAATGTAGACCTTATTCTGAGTGACCATTTGCTTAGCCAAAAACTGATGGTTCTGTTATTAGGAGAGAGAGAACAGCTGTTTGGGGACAGTTAGCAGGCGCTGCCACAGCTGCCCCAAGAGCAAATTTATGACAACTGAAAAGCCATAAAACAGATTGCGCTCGCTCACTTCTGGGATAAGTATCAAGTGCCTGCCGAGTCCAAGGCACCGTGCCAAGCAGGGTCACAGCTGAGCCTGCAGCTCCTTTGGTTTCCCAGGACCGAGGAGAATGTCAGGTCTGTGGTAGGACGTGGCAAGGGCTGGGATTCTGGTCATAATTCCCCTGTGAACTAGCTGTGGAACCCCAGTCAGGCCACTTCCCCACTCAGCCCCTCACAAATAGGCAGGGGGTGGGTGTTGGCGAGATGAATTATTTTGGTCAAGGTCACAAGCAGCGCAGCTGGGATTTGCACCTGTGGCAGCCCAGCTCCTGAGTCCAGGCTCTTAACCACTGGGCTACCCTGCCTGGAGGTTAGCAGGCTGAAGCTGTGCTTCTGGGCCGTCCCTGGGCACCATCCCGGCCCCCAGAGGCCAGTAACCTGGCTGGGCCTGCTGGCAGCTCCAGGCACCACACCGCCTTGATCAGCATGGATTCTGGCCAAGGGCTGACCAGGGCAGAGTAGGCACTGGGGCTGCGAGTGGCCAAAAATGGGGAGAGGTGGGCACAGGGCCCAGGGAATATCAGGTGGCTCAGGCTTGGGCTCCAGGCGGTGACAGTATCGTGCCCAAAGGGTAGGGAACAGACTCTACAGTTGACTCATAGAGCAGCGATTTTCAAACTGAGTCGAGAAATCAGTGTGAGTGGTGCATTAAGGAAAAAGAATAAAAATAAAGAAAAATAAACAAGCAAAGAAAATAGCAGAGTGCATTGTATAAAATCAGGCTAAGTACAGTTTCCTGAAATTTTAATTTACATTTTGTAGGTGTGTCCTCGGTTAGGATAGAAATATATTGCCTGCTGTGATAACTGTCAAGAAAGTGCCAAGGCCTCAGATCTAGAAGACTGCCTGCTGATGGAAAGAGCTGTTAAGAATAATTGAAATTATTGCCTTGACCTAAAAAAGGTTTGAAATTTTTTTCACTTATTTATTATTTTGTATTGAAAGCAATCCAGCTTTGTAAAAAGTTAAAACAGGGGCCGGCCTGGTGGCATAGTGGTTAAGTTTGTGCTTTCTACTTCAGTGGCCCTGGGTTCATCAGTTCCGATCCTGGGCATGAACCTACTCATGGCTCATCAAGCCAGGCTGGGGTGGTGTCCCACATAGGAGAACTAGAAGGACCTGCAACGAGGATATACAACTATGTACTGGGGTTTTGGGGAGAAAAAAGAAAAAGAGGAAGATTGACAACAGGTGTTAGCTCAGGGCCAGTCTTCCTCAGAAAAAAAAAAAAGTTAAAACAGTACAGAAGTGTACAAAGTTTTAAAAAGTTCCCTTCAGGGCCGGCCGGGTGTTGCAGTGGTTAAATGTGCTCACTCTGCTTCGGCAGCCCTGGGTTTGCAGGTTCGGATCCTGGGCGTGCACCGACGCACCGCTTGTCAAGCCGTGCTGTGGCGGCATCCCATATAAAGTAGAGGAAGATGGGCATGGATGTTAGCCCAGAGCTAATCTTCCTCAGTGAAAAAAAAAAAAAAAGAGTAGGATTGGCATCGGATGTTAGCTCAGGGCTGGTCTTTCTCACAAAACAAAACAAAACAAAACAAAAGTTCCCTCCACCCCCAGCTCCCAGTACCAGTGCCCATCCCGGCACTGGGCGAGTTCCCGTGGGTCCTTCAGGAAAGTTTTAATGCATCTACAAATGTCCTTTTTCTTTTAACACAAATAGGATCATCTGCTCTTCTGCAAGTGCTTTTTAAATTTAACGGTTTTTCTTGACTGTCTTTTTTGTAACTTTACCTTTATTGAAATATAATTCACAAACCTTACAATCCACGTATTTAAAGTATACACTTCAGTGGTTTTTAGTATATTTACAGTCAAGCAACCAACACCACAATCAATTTTAGAATATTTTCCTCAACTCAAAAGAAACCCCACAGGCCGGCCCCGTGGCTTAGCAGTTAAGTGCGCGCGCTCCGCTGCTGGCGGCCTGGGTTCGGATCCCAGTTGCGCACCGAGGCACTGCTTCTCCGGCCATGCTGAGGCCGCGTCCCACATACAGCAACTAGAAGGATGTGCAGCTATGACACACAACTATCTACTGGGGCTTTGGGGGGAAAAAAATAAATAAATAAAATCTTAAAAAAAAAAAAAAAAAAAAAAAGAAACCCCACGCCCATCAGCAGTCATTCCCCATTTCCCCCCAACTGTCCTCTCCCCCATTCCTAGGCAACCACTCATGTACTTTCTGTCTTACAAATTTGCCTTCTCTGGACATTTCATATAAATGGAATCGTTGAATATATGGTCTTTCATGACTATCTTCTTTCACTTGTGTGTTTTTAAGATTCATCCATGTATCAGTACTTCATTCCTTTTTATGGCTGAATAGCATTCCAGTGTATGAGTAGACCACATTTTGCTTATCCATTCATCCATTGATGGACATTTGGGTTGGTTCTCCTTTGGCTATTATGAATAATACTACTATGAACGTATGTGTACAAGATTTTGTGTGGACATGTTTTCATTTCTCTTGAGCATATAGCTAGGAGTGGAATTGCTGAATCATATGGTAATTCTGTGTTTAACTTTTTGAGGAACTGCCAGACTGTTTTCCAAAATGGCTGCACCATTTTACATTCCCACCAGTGGTGTAGGAGGGTTTCAATTTCTCCACATTGCCATCACCTATTTTCCTTTTTTTTGATTATATCCATCCTAGTGATATGGCTTTGATTTGTATTTCCCTAATGGCTAATTATGTTGAGCATATTTTCATGTGCTTATTGGCCATGTGTATAACTTCTTTAGTGAAATGTCTATTCAAATCCTTTGCCCATTTTTTATTTGGGTTGTCTTTTTATTGTGAAGTTACATGAGTTCTTTACACAGTCCCTTATCAGACACATGATTGCAGAAATTTTCTCCCATTCTGTAGGTTGTCTCTCCACTCTCTTGGTGGTGTCCTTTGAAGCACAAAAGTTTTTCGTTTTGATGATGTCCATTTATCTGTTCTTTTGGTGTCCTATCCTCGGCTTTGCGTAACCCAACATCACAAAGATTTTCTCCTGTATTTTTTTCTAAGAGAGTTAGAGTTTTAGCTCTTATATTAAAGTCGTTGATCCATTTTGAGTTAATTTTTGTGTATAATGTAAGCAAACGATTCGACTTCATTCTTTTGCATGTGTATATTCACTTGTCGCAGCACCATTTTTTGAGAAGATTTTTCTTTCCTTGTTGCATTGTCTTCACACCCCTATCAAAAATCAATTGGCTATAAATGTGAAGGTTCATTCCTGGACTCTCAATTCTATTCCATTGGTCTATGTCTGTCCTTATGCCGGTGCCAACTGTCTTGATTACTGCAGTTTTGTAGTGAATTTTGAATTCGGGAAGTGTGACTCCTCCAACTTTGTTCTTCTTTTTCAAGATTGTCTTGGCTATTCTGGGTCCCTTGAATTTCCATATGAACTTTCGGATTAGTTTTTTAATTTCTTCAAAGCAGCCAGCTGGGATTTTGATAGTGATTGAGCTGAATCTGTAGATCAATTTGGGGAATATTGCCATCTTAACAATATTCAGTCTTCTGATCTGTGAACATGGGATGTCTTTCCACTTATTTAGGTCTTTAATTTATTTCAATGTGTTTTGTTTTTCAGTATACAAGTCATGCATTTCTTTTGTTAAATTTATTCCCAAATATTTTATTCTTTTTGTTGCTGTTATAGAGGGAATTGTTTTCTTAATTTCATTTTTGGATTTTTCATTGCTAGTGTATAGAATTAGTATTAATTTTTCTATCCTACAGTCTTGCTGAACTCTGTCTTGACTATCTGTGCATATCTGTAAATCCAGAGACTCCCCTTTATTTATAAAAGTCACACAGCATTTCATGGTGTAGAGGAACTAATTTATATACCAGGCCTCCATTGATGGACATTGTGGGCTGTTACCGTCTTTTTGCTGTTACTGATTGTGCTGCAGAAAACACTCTTAGAGCCACTCATTCATTCCGGGGATGTGTATTGAGTACCTACCCTGTTGCCAGGCACTCTTTGAGGCACTGCAACTACACACAATAAAAAAATAAATGAGATGATTTCAACTTGGGAAAATATAAAGAAAATAAAACAGTGATGTGCTGGGGAGTGGCTGAATGTGCGTCTGAGAGGAGTCCTTTGAATTGAGGAGTCAGAGATTTCTCCAGAGAGGTGACTTTTGAGCTGGGATCCAAATGATGAGAAAGAACGCACTGTTGGAAGATTGGGAAGGTTGTTCCAGCCACAGGGAACAGCAAATACAAAGACCCTGCGGTGGGAATGGGCTCGCTGTGTTCACAGAACAGAAAGACAGCCAGTGTGCCTGGAGAGCCACCAAGGCCTAGGAGAGGTGGGGAGGGGCCAGACTATCACAGGCCTTGTAGCCTTAAAAGGCATTTAGATTTTATTAAGAATGTAGAGAGAAGCCGCTGGAGTCTGTGACTTGATCTAATTTATGTTCTAAAAAGATCACTCCAGTTGCTTAAGAAGCATTTATTTTCCCTGCTCTGTTTCAAGTGCTGAGTTCTTCCAAGTGGAATGACAGGGTGGACGGGTTTGTACATTTAAGATGTTCCGAGATGCTGTTCTGCCAAGTGCCTCCCCAAAAGATGGCTGTAGTCTTCCCTCTGAGGGCGCCGGCTCTTTTCTCAGTGGCATTCGGGGTCAGGTGCCCGGTGAGCTCTCACCCCCTGGGCCTCAGCACCCATTCTCTTTTTCCTCCTGCAGGACCCTCACGGCTGCATTTGCCCAGTAACTCTGGCTGTACCGCCCACCCCGTGGGTAAGACGGGCGCCCCAGGAACATGGCAGACGAAGACCTCATCTTCCGCCTGGAGGGCGTTGATGGCGGCCAGACCTCCCGGGCTGGCCACGATGGTGATTCTGACGCAGACAGCGATGATGACGAAGGTTACTTCATCTGCCCTATCACCGATGACCCCGGGTCACACCAGAATGTCAATTCTAAGGTTAATAACTACTACAGCAGCCTAATGAAAAGTGAGCAGTACAGCTCCAGCGGCTCACCTGCGAGCTCCTTCCATTTTAAGGTAAGTGGACCACCTACTCCACCTTCCCCAGCTGGTGCACCTGTGCAAGGGTTGGGGAGCTGGGGTTGCTGGGTGGGGTCTTCCTGTTTCGAAACCCTGGAGAGCGCTCTAAAGTCTGGATCAGAGGATGTGCCTGTTAAGCTGGGAGGATTTTGTTGGTTTTAAAACAAGTTTCATTACTTGAAATCAGTGTTTTTTAAATAGCTGCTTGGGACCCACTCCTGGGTTGTAAAAACATTAATCAACTTTTTAAGAAATGAAACAGAACAGGATAGAATAGAAAATATTGGAGAACACTGCAAATTGTAACGATCTTATTTTGGGGAACATATGTACATACACATTCACGCACATAAATGTTGGGACCAAATGGTTGTTAATGACCAACTTCTAATGACATACCAGTTGTTAAATACTTTTATTTCACTCCTGGTGTGTGTGCTTGTGGGCCCAGGGACATGATGTAAAATGTAGTTCTTCATGTGATTTGCAGTCAAAAAAGCCACTGTTTAGGGTTGAGCCTCCTTCTTCTGGATCGTGGAAAAGGGTACTTGCTTACTGTGTTCATGCCATGGGAAAGCTGATCCAAAGGAGAGGGAAGAAGGCGAGCGTTATTGGACTTTTGTGTAATAACTGGTGGTGAAAAAAATTAAAAATGCAGTACTGTTATTTTTATTTAATCCTCACAAACAGTAAATATCTGTTAGTACTGGGAACAAAATGCCTATTACCACTTTGGGATTTGAAATTGAAACCATTCTTCTCTAACGTCAGAATTAATCTGTTTTTAGAAAATTAATAATTCTGGTTGTTAGTTGAATATTTTTTCCTTTCAAGGCCAGAGTTCTAGCTTAAGTCTCTCTGGGTCAGGCAGCTCCAGAAATAGCCCTGTGGGTCCCCCTTCTGGGGGGCCCCAGAAGGGTCAGGTTGTGGCTTGCCCTGCTTTCCTGTCCTAAGGCAGCTCTGAGACACACACCCAGCCCCGTGGGAAGGGCGGGAGAGCAGCCTGGCGCTTCTGTCTGTTCATTTTAGGTCACGACGGCTCAAGGAAACACTGATCCCTGCGGCATCCTGTACCCCTTGTGAGGGAATCCAGGTGCCAGAGGGGACTGGAGGGGTCAGGGATCCTGAAACAGAAACCAGCTCACGCTGGCTCAAGGGAAAGAAGGAATTTATTGTAACAATCTGGGAGTATTTCTTGGGACCCAGGGGCAGAAATGTGTGGTCTCTCAGGGGACAGATCCAGGAACTGGAAGGCCACAGGACTGTCTCTCTCTGTCTCGTCTCTCAATCTCTCTTTGCCCATCCTATATTCTTCTCTGCCTCTCAATCTACACAGTGGGAAAATAGACCCTCACAGCCCTAGAGTCTCCTCATTACAGATGGAACCATGTGCAAAGACAGATTTGACCCTCTCCATCCCAGTTGTGGGGGGAGAAAATCTGGTTGGCCCAGCCTGGGTCAGGCATCCTCCATCTCTGATCCGGTCAGTTCCAGCTAGGGCATAGGATGGGGCGGTGTCTCACAGAAGAGGGGTTGCTCCCAGGGAAGGAGGATCCTAGTGGCCTCCTAGAGGGGCAGACCCCTCAGAAGAAGTCTACCCACAGCTGCCTGTTCAGAGAAACCATGAGCTCGGTTGGGGCATTTTGGGAAACACTGAGTGGGCCCAGGAGCTGAAGGGTCTCAGACATGGGTAGACACAGTCTCTGACCACAAAATGAAGTACGGTGAAGCCTCTAGGGGAAACACAGATGGAGTGATCCAGTGGAGGGAGGTTTGTCTATAGGTATGGCTTTAGGATGTGAGCTTCATGAGGGCAGGACCCTATGGCCTATTCATCACTCATCCCCAGTGCCTAGAGCCATGCTGTGCACACAGTAGGTGCTTCATTTGGAATCAGTGGGGGCATGGATGAATGCTGAACTCACTTCACTTCGGGGACTCTCTCTCTAAGGGACAGATAGACAGTATTTACGTAAAACATAAGCCCCTGTGGCCATTTGACAATAGTTATTAAAATAAAAAATATACCTCAGATGGCAATTCCTTCTCTGGAGGTTCATCCTCAGCCAAGTGTTCCCACTGCGGGTACTGTTGGCATTTTGAGAGAGAGAATTCTTTATTGGGTGGGACTGTCCCTTTTATTGTAGGATATTCAACATGTCTGACTCCTGCCCACTAAGTGCCATATTTGCCCCCTATTCATTATGACAGCCCAGAATGTTCCCTGCCATATATTTGCAAAGCACATGTGAGGGGATACTGCCCTCAGTTGAGAAACAGTCCAGAAATATTTGTACAAGTCTTCGAATTTACGTATTCAAAGATGTGCTTTGTAGTATTGTTTGTAATAAAGAAAAAATGGGAGCAGCTCAAATGTCCATTATAGATCATGGTCCTAACAGAATGCTGTATTTACATTAAAACAAAGATGACGTTTCTATATTATTTGACTTGAAAACAGTGCCAAGATATATATATATATGTATTTTATGGGAGGAAAACAAAATTCGTGAAAAGCTCTTGGGACAGTGTTGGTCCATAATAAGGACAAAAAATGTTAGCTATTTTTATTTTTATATGCTGTTAAGTAAAAAGGCAAGTTGAGGGGCCAGCCTGGTGGCATAGTGGTTAAGTTTGCAGACTCCGCTTCCGTGGCCTGGGGTTCGCGGGTTTGGATCCTGGGCGTGGACCGACACACTGGTCATCAAGCCATGCTGTGGCGGCGTCCCATATAAAGTAGAGGAAGATGGGCACGGATGTTAGCCCAGGGCTAATCTTCCTCACACACACACAAAAAAAAGGCAAATTGAAATATAATACGATCCCACGTTTATTCAAAAAACATATATATATACACGTATATTAGTATTTGCATAGCAAAAACTGACAGAGGAATTTGCATCCAACAGTTAATGGTGATTCTTTCTGGGGGAGAGGGTACTGTTAAGGGGGACTTTGATTATCTACATTATCTATATTTTTAAACATTTGGAACTTTTAAAACTACATATATGTATTACTTGTGTGCAGAAAAAGATGTTTTTAGAAGAAAAATAAAGCAAAACAGCCAGCAAACAAACAAATCAATAAATAGCCCCTCCTTAAAACTCATATCGCTTCTACAAGGCAAAGTTCAAAATCCTCACTGCAGAGGGAGCACTCGTGGTCCCCAGGGGCCCCTCTGGGCTCTGTTCACCCTGCACCTCTCCCTGCTCCTGGAATCGGCTTCGCTTTTCACGCCTCTGCCTGAAGCCTCTTTCAACTGATGTCTGTTAAAATGATCGTCCTGGCTCCCTCTGGACCCGACTTTTAAGACACCCCGCCCTGGCTATCTCCTCTGCATTCCCTGGGGCTCGTAGCAGACCTTTATGTGCTTGTGTCATTCTCTGATGTCGCTCTCTGTTTATGAGTCAGCCCCTGACTGCAAGGCTAGGGGCTGTGTCGAATTACACTTCCCATTCCCTGTATGTGGTCCAATGGCTGTTTATGGACAAGCTGTAGCTCTTTGGTGCCCATGTCCTAGATAATCGAGAGCAGCCTCGGTGGGGTTCCTGTTGCCTGTGACTTCAGAGGGAGACAGCAGCTGGGTTTTCCAAACCTCACTCTTCCTGGCACTCGATAAACCTAACATATTTTTTTTTAATTTACTGTTGCCATGGCAACCTGGGTTGTTTATCCAAAATGGCCACCTGGCGTTCCTCCAAGATGGCACCACCCTGCAGGTACTGGGCCTGTATTGTGAACTGTGGAGGTCTGTCACTGTCTAGGTCATTGCCTTCCACCTGAGTTCCCTGGGGGATGGTGGCAGAATCATTCAGGGGCCCCGCTTCTTGATAGACTGTCAGGCAGCCAACCAAAGAATGTTTACAGAGTTTATCATAACGTGGGAAAGTGCTTCTGCTCTGGAGTTAAATTTAAACAGCAGAATATAGAGTATGATTATAACTCTGTAACACACACACACACACGCACACACACGTGCACGCACACACACACAGAGCAAAAGCCGGGGCGGAAGTACATCCACATGCTGACAGGGATTGACAGGATGAGGATTGATTACATTCCTTTTCTACTCCTCTGTCATTTCTGTATTTTCTAGAAGAAGCATGTGCAGCATATATGTTTTCAATTTTTTAATACAGTGGGCGGTTTCATTTTAAAAAAATGTTTTCCTGGTCTGGGAATACCTTGGGGAATCATCCTACATCAGGGCCACAGCAGCAAAGCGCGCGCCCTTAACCGCCAAGCCACGGGGCCGGCCCTAGCTGGTACCTTCTTGAGGAAAACTTTCATTGTTTCCTTTTTTTTCTGTTATGAACAGTGCTGTAATAAATCTCCTTATATCTATATCTGTATCTATATATATATATATCTCCAAGCAAGCTTTAAAATACATATATTTTATAATATGTAAATAGTATATGTATACGGTAAGAAGAATTCAAACTATACATGGTGGACAGTGAAGAGTGAGCCTCTCGCCCACGTCTGATCCCTGTTTCCCTGGGGGCCTCGGGCTCTGTGGGTGGGGCAGGCGCTGCTCTACATGGTGACTTGGATCTCCTCACTTAATCTGCACAGCAGTCCCATGAGGGTTGGCGTTTTGACAGATAGTAAACCAGAGGCTCTGACCTTAATCACTCTCCCTGGTAAATGATGGGGCCGTGTTGAATCCGGACAATCTGGATTCAGAGTTGATGCTCTTCATGACTGCAGTATGTTGTCTCACTTATGTTGTTGTTTCTAATGGCTAGTATCATGTTGTTGTCTGGAAGCACCATAGTACATTTAGCCAGCCCCTCATGGATGGGTGTGAAGGTGTTTCCAGACTTTTGCTAGCACAAACAGCGCTTCCATAAGCATCCCTTTATGTGTGTCCTTGTGCCCATGCAGGGGTGCACCTGCCGGGTAAATCCCCAGAGGTGGAAAGGCTGGAGCAAACTGTTTGAGGATTTAAAACTCAGCTGGGCGTTGCTGATTGCCCTTCAAAGAGG